TGTGTGTGTGTGTGTGTGTGTGTGTGTGTGTGTGTGTCTCAGCGTGTGCGTGTCACTGGTCGGCCCACGGCCGGCTCGTCCATCTGCCACCTCCCATGATGCTTCACTGCGGGGGAGACAGAAAAACAAGATGAGCAGCTTTGAAACGGCACATATGGGTGGAATGTTCCTTTAAAGCTGTTTTATTTCCCATCAGCCCCTCATCATCATCATCATCATCATCATCATCATCATCATCATGCCTGCCTGTCCTTCAGCTTGGTCCACAGTTACCATGGCAACCAGCGACTAACCATGAGGTGACTCAGCCGCTCTTAAACCGATGAAGACAAGGCGAGCTCCCACTCCTCACAAGCTTCTGTGTCCAAACAAACAGCTCTGATCACGCCACCGTCACCGTGGCAACAGTTGCACCTGGCTGGAAGTGCTTCGAAAGAACAAACTCGCCCCGATTTTCATTTACAACCATCCGCAGGTGAGACTCCACCCCCACCATCCTACCATTACGCTCAGCAGAAGCTCAAAGTCCTCCTCATTGGTCTGACGGCTGTCCTGGATCAGTTCTGGAGGCTCACCTGCAGCAGGTGAACACCTGGAGGAGGAGGCCCTGATCCAGAGGATCCTCGTGGGCAGGTATAGAGAGCCTGTCGCAGGTTACGAGGGACTTAGCTCCACCTGGGCCAGGTAAACTCATCTCTGTGTCTGAGGATCAAACTGAACTGCTCCTGACTCCGCTCACATCAGCTGATACACGTCAGACCTGTCGGTGTCGTTTCCGTGAGCCAATCAGAGCTCAGTGCTTGTAACGCAGGTGTGACGAGTTGAACCAGCTCGGCCTCGTTCAGATCGTTCATATGCTGACGAGCCAGCGGCGACACATCGACACCTGCAGACGACCTGAGGTAACCTGACAGCAACGACGATGATGATGATGATGCCATGCAGGTGTTTAAAGGTGAACACCTGCATGAAGTCCCCTGGAACATGTGATTTAAGGTGGACATGTCTGTGAGCGCCTTAGATCTGGATGTAAACCTAAACACAGGTTTGCTTTCAGGCTGCTGTGATGTCACAGCTGGACACACCTCAATTAGCAGATCAATTAATTGATTTGTTTTTTCAAAATAAAAGCTTGTTTTAAAAAAGCTCAGTGACTGAAATTAAAAATGAAACTTTTATTTCTTTGTTTTGGGTTCCTTGAGTCTCTATTTTCAAAATAAAAGTTGACAGTCTTTCTCTGCTACGTCACAGACTTTCAAACTAAAGTTTGAAGGCTTCAACATGTCATTACAGGATTTATCGATAAACCAAAGGCTGATCAGCAGATTCACTGATTAGTGATTGGTTTAAAAATGAGCTGCTGAGGAACCAATAAACAGCCCTGTTTTAACTTTAGCATGAAAACATCTGGAAACAGCTGCTTTCAGCCCCCACACTCACCTGATGATGACGTCTACAGGTCCTGATCAGCTCGATAAAGAAAATGATTGATTTACCGGCTCAGACCCGGTACTACTGGACCCGGAGGATGATTTACCGGCTCGGTGTCGGCGTTCAGCCCGCAGTCCGGCTGCAT